AAATTCTAGTTTTAGTAACCATGGTAACATTGTTCATCAAAATCAAAAAAATGATAAAGAAAATTATATATCCTGATTCACAGAATTATGACTGTATCTTAGTGTGGTCTACTTGTGTGCCAAGTTGTATTGAAATCAGACTTTTACCTGTAGGAGGAGTAGCATTTTGAAAATATTTCACAGAAATTTCTATTTTCTATTTTTAGTAACCATGGCAAAATCGATCATTGAAATCAAAAACAGATAAAAACAATTATGTATCTTAATGTAGTCTACTTGTGTGCCAAGTATTACTGAAATCAGACCAAAACTGTAAGAGGAGCAGCATTTTGAAAAATTGTTTACAGATGGATGGACGACGGACACTATTGCAAAAACTCTTCTGGTCTTTAACCTGTAGAGTTAAAAACTCCATTTCATGAGGTATTTACTTATTTATTAAGCTGGATGTTGGACTTCTTATTGTTTTCAGTTTGAAAATAAATGGTGCTGCTTACAAGGGCAGGGATATTAATTAGAAGTTAATATTTTGAAATTAAATTTTCTATTGAAAAAGTTGAAAGCATCAAGTCTCTAGAGTTTTCTAAATATCACATTTACATTTTTATTTCATAAATATGTATACAAGAACAATATTACTTTGCATTTTACAACTTCAAATTCAAAAGTATACATTGCACATGGTAAAAGATGTAATTTGTTACATGATTACGAACAACAGTTACTTTAAAAAAAACACTTCCATATGCTAATTTTCATTATTATACCGGCTGTTTGCACTTTTAAAACAGTCATTAGAATTAAGAAATAAAAGGTCCACATCAGTGTAACATTTAAGGAGTAAATTACTTATATACCTATTGTATATATACATTGTATAGTTCTCTGGGGGGTTTTTATGTTGGATTTTGTTTTACCCATATGGGTTTATTATGAAATAAAGAAATTAAAATTAAGTATTGTAGTAGGGAATTTGCATATACTATTACAATATCTTATGAAAATCTTGATTATAAAATAAAAATTAAATCTCTTTAAGTGGTATTTGAGATAAACGTAAATATACTTGCCATATTTTAGGGCAGAATAAAAAAAATTTCGAGCACAAAAAAACAAATATTTATACACAGATGCATGCACACTGAATTTTGTAAAACAATGAATTTCTCTTGAAGTTTGCATTTTCACAATAAGAATGATATGAACAGTGTCTCATTGATAAAATACATCATCATTTTTACATTAAAATTTTTTCTTATTAACATATCAGTTTGTTTATGAATTATCAATTTCTAACTCCCTCATCACCCGCTGTTTGTAATGTCCATACCCTGTTGGATTTTCATCATCTGTATCATCGTTTGATGATTCATCACTTTCATCTTCTGAAAAAGCATTTGAACATCAAAATAAAACCATGCAACTATGAATCATATTAAATATTAATTCATTAATATTTTTATCTCAAAGTATAACTTCCAAACTTCCAAGCATATGAAAGATATCTTTTTGGTGGTGGTGATGGGGGGGGGGGGGGGTGATAACAATCCATCTTTCATATTAGTAGTAACACAATAGCAGTTGCAGTCTTAATTACAAGTATATCATATAATACTGTATACCCACTTCAAATAAACAAAAACTTCAGAACTTCCAAAGATTGTTGTTTTTTCATAGATATCTTGCTCCTCACCAAATCAAATTGTTTACTTCTAAAATTGAAGAAATTAACACATATCTACTTGATTTAAAAAGGTGCTTCATGTTTATCTTGCTTACCTATATTGCACCTAGATGACATCCACTCAACAAGGCCTCTGTCTTCATAACCAAATGCCTGGTAATCATTGACACCTATGGAAGATAAAAGCTTATGAATACTACATAATGGGTTTCTCTATTGCACAACAAACTACAACAGTAGTTTTATAACTTTATTGTTTATCCATCAGAATAATACAGTAATCTGATTGGTCTAGAGCATGTTATGTGCAGGAAGACCATTCATGATGACAATTTGTAACATCTGTGTTGTCTCCCTTCAGATGACAATGGCCCAAGCCAGCATACAGGGTGACTACTGTATTGTCTCCCTTCTGATGAAACTAAATTGTCGAACTGATTGAACTCTGATATAAAAAATACAGTCAAACCTTATCTTGAACTCCATGGGACTGAGAAAAAACTTCAAGATATCCGAGGGTTCAAGATATCGAGGGTAAAATACTTGAGGAATAAGGGGTTGGGACTTCAAAATCACTTTGGCATATCCATGGTATTCAAGATATCCATGTTCAAGATACCGAAGTTCAACTGTACATTAATTAGTGTATTAATATGCAGGTTTGATAGAGAGTTAGATAGTTAGAGAGACATTAATATCCCCATCTAATTTAGCTATAATTTTATCAAAAGCTTACCATTTCCATACACAAAATCTACGTCCTCCTCTTCTTCTATGAACCTTGGATCCTCATCAGGGTAATCATTCCTCCAGTTACTTTCCTCATTTTCATCATCCTCATCCTCATATATTTCATGGTCCTCCTCACCATTATATCCATACTCAAGATTGTCTGCATATAAGGAGTGAATTGACAGGGAGCTCTCGAATAATTGGAGATTGAAATCTCTGCTGTTTGTGTAGTAGAGATCATAAACATAATCCTCTTCCTTTTCTTGTGGTACTTGTTCATGTACCATTTGTTCGGAATTACACGTAACAAGACTAGCATTTTGAGCTTCCTGTAAAAAATTTTTAAAAAAAAAATGTTTAGCCTTCATGTATAATGGTTTTAGAATAAATGATACCAATTTTATAATTTTCCATTCTGGCAATGACATATATTCACATGATACATACATGTATAGTAGTAACGTTAGTACATATATATAGGTCCCTGATATTCCTGTGAGTCCTAAATCTAAACAGCTGTCCTTAAACCTAAAATTAATATGGTCATTATAAAAATATAAATAATTCATATGTTTTAGGGCATTTTCCAAGTGAAAAATTTTACCTGAATTAAGGACTCAAAAGTTGGTAGATTTGACTGATTGACTTCTACATCATACAGGTGATAAACTTTTTCAGCTGACTGTGCACCATTGGCTACTGAACTTGCTTCATATAAATTTCTCTGTTCTTTTTCAACCCCTTCTGCAGAATTTACAGTGACATTTTTTCTACAGTTACACAAATCTAGTTCTTTTTCACAATTTTCTGAAGCATTTATGCTTGTTTTGCTCTCTGAATGTTTTGCACTTTCTTTTTTACAAATGTCACATACATCAGTGGACTTCAGTGGGGATTTTTTCTTTTCTACACAATCATCACATTCCTTATCAAGGGCTGAAAGATCTAAAGCTCGGAAAGATGATGTTATCTTAAATCTGTTGGCTTTTGAGGACTCCTTTTTATGCCGTCTACTTCTGGGAAGAGCACCTGGTTGATGACTTTTGTATTCTCTTTGTAGTTTTTCTTTTCTTATTGCATCTTTGATGTGCTTTGAAATAACTTCATCCTACAAAGAAATGACTGAATTTTTAATTCACACAAAAATACCAATTATAACAGGAAAGGAGGAAAATTGTGATGGACCAGACCAGGATTCAAAACCAGGCCCCTTGAATCTCTATTCAGGTATTCTAAACAACAAAGCTATCTGGCCATCAAACCCGTCTGACCGCCACCAAGAACCTACATACAGTATATAGGTCCCTGCCGCCACATATAGTTTAAAAAGAATCTTTGTTAAACAAAGTTTTCATAAATATGGTATTCAGAAATTTTCGTGTTAGATCTAAATAACATAAACATTATCTCCAATATATAAATTATATATGGAAATGTAACACAGAGAAAATGTAATGGACAGTATTATATATATATGCAGTTTCAACATATTCATTATTAACAGGTTTGGCACAATCTCTTGATTAAGCTATATAGCTTGAAATAGCTATATAGCTTTATTAAGCTATTCAAATTAGCTCGATAAAGCTATTTATATGCAGTTTTTAACAAAAATGTTATTTGTGCAAAATAGACAAAAAGTCGCAAGTAATTGACTATTCATATATGTACTATGGGCTATCAAAACAACAACCAAAATCAAAGATAGTTCCAACATTGCAGCATTTGAATACTTTTAAGCAAAAGATGAATTTCCATTGTTTGGGTAACTGTACACTACCTTGTGTGAGTTGAGGCATGGATAAGTATGATTGCTTCTCATTGTACTGAATTATTACCAATCAATTATCTTGTTGACCATAATTGACCTCCTTTTAATTATAATTTCATTCGAGATCTAACTGTATCAATTGCTTTATATAGCCCCAAAACTTTAAGAACTTTGAGTACAAAGTCTCTTAAGGAGACACAATTTGATGAGTGATTTGCTGAGAAAATAATACATTTGAGAAAAAAGTGTGATAAAATAGCTAAATCAAGCTATTCTGAATAGCTTAATAAAGCTATATAGCTAAATCAAGCTATATAGCTAAATCAAGAGATTGTGCCTGACCTGATTAAGTTTACATACCATGTGTGTATAACCCCCAACCCTGAAATTTTGTAGATCACACCCTGTTCTGAAATGTAATTTCTTTCAAAGACCATTCACTACAATTTAATTATTTATTATGTTTGATCTGAGTTAATATGAAATTCATTCTTCACCTATAGATTTTGAACCAATTGATGGTCTGAATTTTACTCTACCTTCGATATGACAGTCCCAGCAAACTTCAGATAACTCTCACAACCATCTGTCTCATGTTTACTAGTATCAGCTATGTCTGATTTGAGTTTTTTACACGAAAGAACAATATTTTCGGCAGGATCTTCGTACCTTCTCCGTTTCACCCTCACTATGGTCGCCATCTTGAATATCGGATTCTGCTTCACCTTTTCTCGTCTTGAAAGGAGACAACTCAAGAGGGATTCCGAATGATCAACATGTGGAATCTGACATGAATGTCTTTTTATGTAAAGTTAAACATTTCATTTACCAAAATGGCTACAAGTCGATATTTCAATAGTATAATTAAATGTAGTAAGCAGGGTAATATTTTAATCGCAAGAGTGACTGACACAAATGTAAGTATAGATGAAAAGTGGTCAATGGGGAAGAAAAACATGAATCCGAATTTTCTCCGAGATTTGTAAAGGAGTTACATTTAACGAAACCTTTATTTTGTGTAATTTCATTAACCTTACTTCCTTTTGTGTTTAGGTTACACTAAAAAGATTTTATAATGTCCAGAAATGCACAGCCAAAACAGGGTTAGTCAGCTTGTTGAAGAAACACAGAATTGTAGTAAATTCAGCTCTCATTACAAGGGCAAAAAGCACATCGGTAAGTAATAAAGGTAATTTTCAACTTTTGCTTACTGTATATAAGAAACATGTATATGTCCAGCCTCTATGTATTTAATTTATGCATTCTGTCAAAAGTCATGCTAAAAAAGTACTATGAGTACCAGTAGTAAACAAAATAAAATAATCTTATTGTTGAGACAAACCTAAATCAGGCTCACAGAATACTGTCATTTTGATGGTAGAAAATTCTGTGTATAAATGTGCAGATGAGCCTTGTTAATCCGGATACCTGTTTTCCCAAGCAAATCGTCTCGATAATAAGCATCTGAGTTACTGAAACAGATATTTTACATCTGGTAGATATACATGTACATTCCGTTCCTAACAAATTATATCCAAACGGTGATGGGTCTTGATTATTTGCATCCATATTAATTAACAAGGCTCCACTGTATACAACTAATTCCAAAGCTTATTTTCCTTATATATGCCTATTCTACAATGTCTATTTTCCCTTTTTTTCCCATTAATTATTGTGCAGACTGGAGTCGAAGAAATCCTAAGCAAAGCTGCATCTGAAATCTCCAAAGATGATAAGTTAACTAAAGTTGTTTCTGAAGTGTCAAGTAACACTGGAATAGTAAAACCAGAACTGACAGATGTCACCTCTAGTTTAAATGCCCTGGGGGAAGAGTCTCTGAAAAGTCTGGGACTTGGAAAGTTTACTCCACCTGGACTAATGCAACAGTTTTTGGAGTTGGTTCATGTAAATTTGGATGTACCGTGGTGGACCTCCATTGTGATAGGTAAGTTACATGGAAATTGATTTTTTTTTCAAACCATAATGACATATAACTTTGAACCACAACAATCTGGAATTTATCAACATTTTCTTCCCATTTGGTAATTCAGCATTGTAATTATGAAAGTACATGTAGTAGATTTCTAATTTTTTAAAAATCTTGTGTGATAGAGAACTTTGAGAAAAATTCATACAGAAAATATTGAATTTCAACTTGCTTTCTCACTCCTTTTATTGATTTTTTCAGCATTTTAGTGTACCTTTCAATATGAATTTTTTTCATGATTGAAAGACATGATTTGTCATTCAGAATGTAGAGACATAATATTCTGCATAACAACTTTCAAGCAGAAAAAGAAATTGCAACAAGATTTAAAACTTGAATTTTTCAGTAACTGTTATAATAAGAGGTGCGTTGTTCCCTGTATATCTGAAGGGGAGACAAAGGACCATTAACTCTATGAACCATGCACCTACAACCCAAGTTCTGCAAGAGAAAATAACAAGGGCAAGGATGAGAAGGGATGCATTAGCAAGTAAGGCCGTTAATTTTCATTCAGTGGTCATTATTATGATTGAGAGTTATCTCTCTTATCAGAAGGTCAGTGAACCTTGAAGAGACATGTGCAAATTACATTCAAACCTCGTTATCTCAAACTCAGTGGGACTGAGAAAAAGAACTTTGAGATATCTGAGTGTTTGAGATATCCAAAGTTCAGCTTTAATGATCAATTTTTTTGGAGGAGTTGTCACTTATTTCAGGCAGAATTATACTTTTATATTGTATCTTGTCACAAAAGTTTGCCATAAGGTCTATGAGATCGCTTGTACAGCCAAAGTAGGATGATGCATACACTTTATAAATGGAAAACTGGAAATGATACCTTCATTAAAGACAATTAAATGCCGGAATTAATTAAAAAAAAAAAAATTAATGTATATTAGCTGAATGTCTTGAGAATTGCTTGACAGAATATCAAATATGGTACACTGGTTTCCCTTTGAGTTCACATGGTCATAGGTCAAGGGTCAAACTGTACATAAGATGATATTGATTGCTTAATGTCTTGAGAATGTTTTGCTTGTCAGACATCTAACATGGTTCCCAGTAAGAAGTAGATGACCCCTACTGATTTTAAGGTCACAAGATTAAAATGTCAAACTGGACATAGGTAGATATTGACTGCTCAGTATCTTGAGAACCGTTTGCTTCACAGACATCAAACTTGGTACACTGGTACCCACTAGATGAATTACCCCTAATAATAACAAGGTGTCATAGAGGTAAAGTTTAGAATGATATTTCCCCCCGACTTGCAGGTTACCCTTTTTTTCAACAAAGTTACAGACATTCTAAATTTGAAATTGACTTTTTTTTAGTATTGCCACAAGGGGGCATATACATATGTCTCTAAAATATTTCTTTTCCATCTTAATTCTTTTTAGTGCAAGAATACCAAGCAGAATTGTCGGAGTACCAGAAAAAACATGATATACAGACTTACAAAATATTTTTGCCATTGCTTGTACAGGTATGATATAAAGCAAATGATTTACTTTATTATTATTTGCACAAAATCTTTATTTCTATTATTCACAGGTACATTGATGCAGCCAGTGTTTATTATTTTTATTTTACAAACATATAACACATATGAATACATATTACATAATACAGTAAATCTGTATAATCTGAACACCACTGTCACCATAGAAATTGGGTGGATTAGACAGCATTTTAAACTATTGTATAAATACTGAAAGCAATTTTACATTTGCTGAAAGCAAGTTAACATTGTATTAAGCAAGATTTCATAAGCACATTCTGGAATACATACCTTCCAGATTAGACAGTTTCACTGTACAAGTATATATTATAGAGCAAAATGTTTCAATATGCAAATTATAGATTATTTCTCTGCGTTCTTTATCAATATATATGTACAAGATAATCTTTTTTATTGCAAGATGCCATTCTTCATTTCGATGTTTATTGGACTGCGAGGAATGGCCACCTACCCAGTGGAGAGTATGAAGACAGGAGGAATATTATGGTTCACAGATCTGACAGCCACAGATCCTTATTTAGGCTTACCTCTGTTGACCTCAGCTACTCTCATAGCAATTATACAAGTGAGTGTCTGACCCCAAGACCTACAGTCAAACCTTGTTGTCTCGAACTCTGTGGGACAGAGAAAAACCTTGAGATATCTGAGGATTCGAGATATCAGGGGTAAAATACTTAAAGAATAAGTGGTTGGGACTTCTAAATTACTTCGACATATCCATGGTATTGAGATGTCAGTATTTGAGATACTGAAGTTCAACTGTGTTTTGCATGTAAACTTCACGAAACCTGTTGATCCTTAAGTAAAGACTGTGAATAGAGATTCACTTGAGGTACATTTCTATGGAGGCATTTCTTAATTGTTTTGAACATAACTGAATTGCCATAGTCTGGTGATGAGGAAATCCCTAAATAGAGATACCCCTAAGATAGGATTTGATTCTTTATGTGTCAAATTGTATGTTGCAACTTTGCTGTTCATTTTTTGCCCAGGATTAATATATGAAAAATGTACATGAGGCAGCAAGAGCCTAATCTGAATTTGGCTGCAGTGAAATTTAGTCCCCATTGCAACTTGGCTTGTTTCTGGAAGATGAGGGTTATTATAGAGTCATCTGGTGCATCTTGTTTTCATGTTTTAAAAATAGTCATCAATTAAAATGAAAATGTGATAAAAAAAAAAAATTACACTCTTTAGTTATATAGTTTGAGATAAATGTGCATCATTTATTATATTTCATATTTATGTGTCCCTATGTACAGTGTCTCTCTCTTTTTTTTATGCAGATTGGAGCAGAAAATCCCAATTCAAGTCCTCTTGTGAAAAAAATAGGATGTGGAATGGCCGGGGCAATGTTTCTCTTCATGATCAATTTCCCATCGGTAAGGCAGATCTCATTAAGGAGGTTATTAAAAACCTACTATATTTCAATAACCATCCTGTTAGATGTTGCATGGAATGTACACATTGGTATCTTGATCGTCTTTCTTTGGTAGGCACTTTGCTGTTACTGGGTGACCAACAACACCATCTCTCTCCTCCAAGCCGTCTTGTTCTCCTCTAAGGATGTCAGAAAGTATTTGAATATTCCAGAAGCTGTAGTGCACCAGAAGGATTTGAAAACAAATAATAAGACATTTAGAGAATCATTTAAAGAAATTAAAGAGCAGTCAGGTAAGTGAAATCAATGTGTGGGTTAGGAATTATACAGTACACTAACAGAGGTCAATGTATCCTGTAGACAGATTTGATTTTGCTTCTGTCCAAGATTTCGGAAAGTGACAGATAAACTTTTTTTTCTCATGTGATTGAATTTTGTTTTTATTTTTAAGCCTTTGGTATGTACATTATAATTGTAATCCGTTTACAGCTATCATACATATGTAGGTGTCATTAGTTTACATGCATAATTGTTATTATTGAAAACCAGATTTTCTGAAATTTGATTGCAATAAACATATAGAAATACAGAATGTGTGTGTGTGTGGGGGGGGGGGGGTTGTTTTTACTGAAAATGAACAAAATGAATGAAGTGAATGATGAAGTTTTTCTTTTCTAGGTGTTTTAAAGTCAAATGAAGAGGCCATAAGAGACTTTGAACGACTTCATGCCATTGAAATGGAAAGAGCTGGGAAAGGACCCGTACCAGTCACCTACAAATACAACCCAAAGAAGAAGAGGAGTCCAAAAGAGGATAGAGAAACCCTGAAACTGTGATCAAAAAATATATCTGTATATACAGAGAGACAAGTGAAAGAGAGGTGACAGAGAGTATGCTTCATGATGTATTTAAACAAGCAGGATGTGCTTGCTTTATTTAAATCTTACAGATTTTTTTTATTCATATTGCAGCCTGTTTGATATTTTAAGTATCATTTATTTGTTGTCTTTCCAGTTTCCATTTTTCTTAAAAAAATTTTCAGTACATGTATTGATACTAGTGTAGATGTCATTATTTGACATTTGTGGATATGAAGAATCTGATTGAAATCAAATAAAGTAGGAATCGATTCTTTGAATTTTTGGGGGGGGGGGGGGGGCAGGGGGATCCTTTATTTACTAAAGCCTACCATGAGAGATGATGGCAGGCAATTTTATGATAACAAAAAAGAAACAAAGTCAAACCTCGTTATCTCGAACTCGATGGGGCCGCAAAAAAACTTCGAGATATCTAAGGATTCGAGATATCGAGGGTAAAATACTTTTAAAAAATAAGTGGTTGGGACTTCCAAATCACTTGGACATATCAATGATATTCGAAGTAACAGTGTTTGAGATACTAAAGTTCAATTGTAATGTCTGAACAAACTTAAATATTTACAAGGACTGAAGGAAATTTTTTCACACATATATTGATAATTATAGACAATATACATTGTAACTTGTATTCATTCATTCAATCAGTAAAACAAATTATTTCCAATATTATTGTTTGGATAGAAATTTATTTCTCTCATTCTAAAAAAAAGTACAAGTAAACAAATAGTGAAATTTATTCTCTCATTACACTGATTCTTTCAGATTGATCAATAGGAGAAGTCTGAATATTCACCCCTCTAAAGTTATCTGAAAAGTACACTGGATCAAGGTGTAGTGTAACAGGGGTTTTTTTTTTATTAATTAGATAGATATAAAATAAAGACACCTGCAGGTTTGATTGCTTTGTTTGCCAATGATATGTATAAAAACAATCGCAATATGCTTACAAATGAATAATATTAAAGAGTTATTCCCCTTGTCACAGCACTGTATAAAATTTAGATCTATTCTCTTGAAATATGAATTGAATTCTGAATCCACTTTGTAACTCAAGGGATATTAATGTTGATAGGTACATTTATCAAAATATGAATTGTACCTGTTTATGGAACAGTGTGTCTGGAAACTTTCTATTATAATTATCACTTTATCAGTACCTATACTGTAATTAAATAATAGCATTCACTGTCAGCTCTTGCACACTCAGTGAGTTTATTGATTTGATATAAATAAATCAAGCTTTTGAAATATACTCCATTAATATGAAGTAAATAAGATACTTAATTATAAATTTTAAGAACTGGTAGCTAATTCACAGTACAAAAAATGTATAGAAAATATGTCTTCACAGTTTTAAAGGAATTGAGCTGAAAAATGTCTTTGTCAGATGTCAGGAATTTGGAAGTAAAAGTTTAAACCATTTGGATTAAAGGAAGTTGAAAGACTTCTCGTGTAGCTTTTTACAGGTGTACAAGGGGTGAATCTAAAGTTTAACTGATACTTTGTTTTAGCTATTAGTCATCTTTCTTTTTTATTACTTAGAAAGTTTAGTAGTTTTGTAGAAAGTTTATTTGATGAATAACCATTGCCCATGATGAAATAAAATCCAGTCTTTTTGATATCATAGACAGCTGCTTTTTCAATAAAATGCCTTTTCACTCGTTAATATACATGCTGAGCATACCCCTTGTCATTGATCATCTGCAAAATTATTTTGTTAAAAAGCATTTTGATTGTACAGACAGTTACTTCGAAGGTTATATTAAAAGATGCTTGAGTTTCTGGTTGACAATACATGTATTTTTGTAGTTTTTTGAGATGAAGTCCAACAATCTCTTGGAATTCCCATCGGAATTAATTGTGCTCCATTCTTAGCAGACATATTTTTATGCCCCCCTTCGAAGGGCATATTGCTTTGCTGCTGTTAGTCTGTCAGTCGGTCGGTCTGTCTGCCTGTCAGTCCACCAACAGTTTTCGTTCATTTTCTTCACAGAGGTGAGAGGTTGCACATACTGAAATGAAATTTGGTATACAGATTTATCATAAGAATATCTAGGTCAAGTTCTGTTTTGAGTACGATCGAGCAATTTTTGACAGAGTTATGCCCCTTGGACTTGGAAAAATTCCAATTATTTGCAGTTTCCGTTCATTTTCTTCACAGAGGTTGCACATATACTGAAATGAAATTTGGTATACAGATTTATCATAAGAATATCTAGGTCAAGTTCTGTTTTGAGTACGATCGAGCAATTTTTGACAGAGTTATGCCCCTTGGACTTAGAAAAATTCCAATTAGGGGGGGGGGGGGGGCATAAGTGTTTCACAAATTTATCCAAAAACTTTTACATGAATAGAACAAGTTTCTTATTGTGGCCTTCAATTCGACACTTAGATATATCGACGACGTTTTATCAGTTAACAATATTCATTTTCATTCCGCAGGTTGATTCGATATATCCCTTTGAACTAGAAATAGAAGACACCACAGAGTCTAGCACATCTATTTCATATTTGATTATTTTACTAGTAAAAGACGTCAATGGCAAACTAAGAACCAAAATTTATGATAAACGTGATAACTTCAACTTTACTATCGTCAACACTTCCCTTATTTATGCAGCAACATACCATTATCATTTATCACCTGCATATTGAGTTTTTGTCTCCTATTTGATTCGATACAAGAGCATACGAAAGCCTATTAGGATCAAACTACGGTAAAAAAAAAAAATTAAAAGGCGTTATAACGCCTTTTCAAAAGGCGTTATAACGCAAAAAAAGGCAATAACGCCTTTCCAAAAGGCGTTATTACGCCTTTTTAAAAGGCGTTATTACGCCTTTCTAAAAGGCATTAATTTTTTGAAAGGCCATTATTATGTCTTTGACAGGTCCGTGCTTTTAAAGTTGGGGGGGGGGGGTTCCCATAAAATTGATAAGCAAACAAAAAAAACCCCAAGAAACAACCCCCCCCCCCGAAAAAAAATAAACTGCCTAAACTTGAGGGGAAACGTTTTCTAATTTTTCGATAAAACTTTTTTTACATGCAATGACTTGCCCGAGTTTAACCATACTGCAACAAAATGTTAAGGGACCAAGCAATCAATAAATGATTTTTTTATATTTAAACTATAGCAAGACTATTCTCCCAAAAAGTGGGGTGGGGGAGCCCCCCCCCCCCACTCACTTTCGTACTACCGGCCTGTTTGAAAAGGGGGGGGGGCATAAGTGTTTCACAAATTTATCCAAAAACTTTTACATGAATAGAACAAGTTTCTTGTTGTGGCCTTCAATTCGACACTTAGATATATCGACGACGTTTTATCAGTTAACAATATTCATTTTCATTCCGCAGGTTGATTCGATATATCCCTTTGAACTAGAAATAAAAGACACCACAGAGTCTAGCACATCTATTTCATATTTGATTATTTTACTAGTAAAAGACGTCATTGGCAAACTAAGAACCAAAATTTATGATAAACGTGATAACTTCAACTTTACTATCGTCAACACTTCCCTTATTTATGCAGCAACATACCATTATCATTTATCACCTGCATATTGAGTTTTTGTCTCCTATTTGATTCGATACAAGAGCATACGAAAGCCTATTAGGATCAAACTACGGTAAAAAAAAAATTTAAAAGGCGTTATAACGCCTTTTCAAAAGGCGTTTTAACGCAAAAAAAAGGCAATAACGCCTTTCCAAAAGGCGTTATTACGCCTTTTTAAAAGGCGTTATTACGCCTTTCTAAAAGGCATTAATTTTTTGAAAGGCCATTATTATGTCTTTGACAGGTCCGTGCTTTTAAAGTTGGGGGGGGGGGGGTCCCATAAAATTGACAAGCAAACAAAAAAAAACCCAAGAAACAACCCCCCCCCCCCCGAAAAAAAATAAACTGCCTAAACTTGAGGGGAAACGTTTTCTAATTTTTCGATAAAACTTTATTTACATGCAATGACTTGCCCGAGTTTAACCATACTGCAACAAAATGTTAAGGGACCAAGCAATCAATAAATGATTTTTTTATATTTAAACTATAGCAAGACTATTCTCCCAAAAAGTGGGGTGGGGGAGCCCCCCCCCCACTCACTTTCGTACTACCGGCCTGTTTGAAAAGGAGTTATATCCAAAAATGGAAAGGCGTTATTTTAAAATAGTAAATATATGAAAGATTGAACCAAAGCCATCTTTATTTATACAATATTTAGATTATAGTTTTAATATTATAAATTATATTATAAATAATAGTATTTTCTATATTCCTGCACATCTCGCAGACAGTTGTTTGCATTTTGCATGCATATTAAGAGAAGTCAACACTCTACTTTTGAAAATCCAGGATATAGGCAGAACCAGCTTTGGGCTTTGCTAGCCATGTATTAAAAATTCATGTCAAATTTGAAATATTTTTCTCCCCTCTTGGTAAAAAAACAGGCAAAGTATTTGCATAGGTATAATGAGCAATTAGCCTTCAACCAAATTTCTGAAATCCATGCACCTTGGTAGAGGCGTCTGGCATCAGAGAAGGACTAAGTTGGTTTTAATTAACACTGCAAATATTTTACACATTTACAAATCTTTTTTCCTGGAAATCTAATTATAATCAGCCCCCAGGGTGGGCTAAGTAAGTCATGTATTGAAAAAAAGAGGCGTAATAACGCCTTTTGAAAAGTCGTAATAACGCCTTTTTAAAAGGCGTAATAACGCCTTTAGGAAAGGCGTAATAACGCCTTTTATCGCGTTATAACGCCTTTTGGAAAGGCGTAATTACGCCTTTATTTGCGTTATTACGCCTTTTTCCGCGTTATAACGCCTTTTCAAAAGGCGTTATTACGCCTTTTTTCGCGTTATAACGCCTTTTAATTTTTTTTACCTTAGTTTGATCCTTATAGGCTTTCGTAAGAGCATGTTCTACGCACGAAGAATTTCTAAAACAAGGCAAGCTTTTGATAAATAAGTTGATGATACAGTGGATATCAACAGTCCTAGCTGTTTAAGGTCAACATTTTGCAAATTCTATGGTCGATACAATGACCTTGTTGGCATATGCCATCCATCGTTAAGTCGAATATTGATCGACGTTTTTCATACAAATTGCTATGCCATTATTGTCACGATGAATTGTTTATGAATTTTTCCGTGTACCCGATCAAGACAATGAGCATACGGCTAGTATGACTAAAACCAGTTGTTTTATATATATTCCTAAATTTATAATTGATACATTTAACACTTGAATGTTATAATATTATAATTCTAAAAAAGGCAACAGAAAACTGTCACTGTTATAGTAGTTAAGTACATTGTATTTCTCAAAACTGAATGTTTTAAATTCTATAAACTTTATGTATAATGTTTGTAATTTCCATTTTTAAAATGAGTCACGGTTTTTTTTAAACCTTTTAATTTTGCTTTTTGAACTTGTTTGATCTAAAACACCCTGATGTTGTAAACTAGAACTGTCTTTATGGTATTAAACCCCCGGTGGGGACTCTTTCAATTTATGGATGTTGCAAATTACACGCACGCTTCCACGGATGCTTTTTAAAATTTATATAGCTCTTGCTATTGTCTAGAACAGACCTCAATTTTTTACTAAATGCAACCTCAAACGAAACACAAGTAGATATATGTAAGATATATCATATTTTTGCTGTGTCTAGTCACCTCTGTTTAAAATTCGTTGCCGAATCTATATAAATCATCCATTGATTTGAGATTGTTCTGTGACACGTTGATAATTTTTTTTTTTAAGATCTCTGAGAAATGAAATTTCTATCACATCGTTGAATGCGCTATGATACGTAGGGTATTATGTCGTGCGCACGAGATAATTTCTGCCCATGCAGTTAGTATCTTTGGAAAAAAAGTTGTGTCCTTTTAGAGTGTACCATGTATTATGATATACTAGTATATGAGTTAAAATACAATATTATTTTTCGGAAATAACATTTATTATACTTGTTGCTGGGCGTTAGAAATAAAGGTAAAATATTCAGCCTCAACTATATGTATGCCTACAAAAGGACTCCATGGAAGTATTAACATTGCGTTCAAACCTATATTTCTAAGTCTCCCATTTCCTCTAGAAAGCCTAAATGGCATGATGTATTTGCATGAAAATGATTGAAATATTTAATAAAACTGGGGCGCTTTGCCCTCTTCACCAGGGCTTCGCCCTGGAGCCATCGGGGGACTCACAGCGGCCCTCAGACCCCGGCCGTTCTCTTCGTACACTTGACGTCCATGCTGGCTTCGCGCCTGGCATTCATGAAAAAAAAAAACTATATCTGTGAAATATATATACATGAGGTTATAATGTACTTTTCTATAAGAAAATTAATTTCTAGAGAGTTTTATGTATTATCAGTGATAGTGATGGATTAATTAAGTTCTCCTACTATAACCCTAATAGTATAAAGAAAACAAAACCAGCAAACCAACGTAAAATTTTATTAATTTTTCAGAGCATAAAAATATATATTATTAACAATAGATACATGTATGCATAAATTCTCTATCATAGATTTATATATCACAAATTTTATTTTATTTTTTTTTACACATTTAACTGGACAAAATACCAAGAATTATTTTTTTTTCAGAATTGCACCACCCCTCGAAACAATTTGATTGACTTGAACAATACAGAACAAGAAATATAGGACATTTCATCATGCACAAACGTTGATTAACAAAGTAGAGACAATACATAAAAAACACGAAGAACACACTTACTATAGTTCAAATTCAATGTACATGTAAATAAATCTATATACATGTAAATAACAACATGATTTAAAGCAAATCTAAACTCCAAACAGTGTAACTGTACAGTACATAATACAATGCCTACAGTTCAAGACAAAATGAACTTTTGTAAATACATAATAAAAAGAACACTTATGTTAAAATGGGCTTTGATTTGGCAGGAAAAAATATAAGCTTGCATTGCGATCCATGTGTCTAAATAATAAAGGTATATATATGTACAACTCCGAACGAAAAAAAAGTCATGGTAAAATGATCGGGTACGTGATTTTTGATTGCCCTACAAATATGATTCATTTACAGTTCCGAGATCAAATCTTCCAGCAGTTTTGGTTTATGATAATCATACAGTTTGAATTCTGCTGTTCTTGTACATATCATTTGAATTGAAAAAATGCGGTGTTTGACTGAAAGGGGGTGTTGTGTAGAATGTGGCTTCGTATGGAGGGGGATGGTCCCGTTTGGCATTCGATGCTTCACTCGCTGAATAGCTGGGTAGTCCCGAGGTTAGAGTACCTCCTGAAAGCGAAGGAGCGGCTAAAATGGGAGAGTCCAAATATGACTTTACACCGCACGCAGTTGGTGGGGCACTTGGATTGACAAAGTCCTTGCATGAAAGATATGTTTTGCAACCCTCACAGCATGAATGAAAGCTATTGAAGAAAGTTGCAATGCCCTGTGTTCCTTTATCGCGCGATCCGTATTTGCTCTCAACGGAATGAATTACCGGGGATGAGAGTACTATAGTACTGTCTTTCTCAATACCTTGAAGGTTTGTCACCACAAGCTGACCTTTGGTTTCGTGGAAACAGAAATGGGCAAACTGTTGAATGACCGTTGGACATTTGTTGGTCGATTTTCCCTCGGGATCAGTAAAGGAAACGTATTGACCTTGAACCCGTTCTTCAAGGAGAACGCAGTCATCGCCTGTTATTACCCTATTGTAGTTCCTTTGCAGCAAACGGAACATACGATTATAAAATGGCGCAACCTTGTCCATCACTGCTACGCATGGTAACAGGACTATAATTCTTATACCTTTCAGTGTTGCATTAAATAAGTTGGCCAGTTTGTATACCTCCGTAACTCCTTCCACGTACTTGACAAGATCCTCTTCTGTAACGCTAGGGTCGTCGAACTTGACAGCGCAGTCTGTTTGGCTGAAGAAATTGTCCTCGCTGTACATGTAGCCTCGGAAGACGGTTTTCCGTTCGGCTACCACTTCCGGATAAAACTCAAAATTTGCCCACCATTTCCGTCCATCTGCGCAGCAAGTTATAGAAGGCAGAGTCTGATTTTCGATTTGTTTTAATTCCATAACCTAAAAAAATAAAAGTTATCAATAAATTTTACAAAAATAAAAAAAAAATTCAACCGAGGATGGTTCATTTTTTCTTACATTTGCAGGCAGGAAAAGTGCGTTTTGTACTTCTCAGCCTAAGATACAATTATTCAAAGACTGGAAATTTAAGATCTCAGACTTCATGGGAAAATGTAGTAAAGTTATTTTAAGTTTGACGACCTTGTAAAACCTAAATATAGAAGCAAAGCAATTACGACAAATGCTGCTACAGAAAAAGCATTCAGGTATGAAAAAGTTTTCCATGACACAATATAAATATTTATTTATTCTGGAATTTTTCACATTTTTTTTTTTCACATACGTTGTGTTACGGATGGGTTTTCCCGGTCTTTCAATTCTTAATATTCCTAAAATCTTTCCCAACATGCTAGTCTTTTGCATGTATATATCGAAAATTTTCATGAGAAAGTTTTCTTTCAAGGAAGCTGAACCATATTTATTTAATTAAATTATTTTTAAAAATATACAAAATCAAAGGAATTAATCATTTTAATTTTACTGAAAAAGTTCAGTTTATAAGCCTTCTCATTTCTTTTTCGAAAATTTAAAATAATATATTATTATCGTTAAAATAATATACCTACATGTAGTCCGACGACGTTAAGATAATTTTGAATATTTTGACGTAGCAACCCTCAAGGAGGGGGCGGTTATAACGGTAGAGGAGTGTATCCTCTTTATTCTTTTTTCGCTGATTTTTTTAATAGAAAAACATTTAAAAATGTGTCCCATCTTCCCTCCCGCGCAGTGCTTGGAAAATTGAATTTGCATGTATGTATATGTATATTCTTTTTTATAAATCTGTTTCACATATTGCTTGTAAAAAGAATGAAATACACCTATACATGTATTAACCATTCGTGTAAAACGAAATCTACTGTAAAATTGTTAAATAGATTTTGACAAAGTTTCGAGACGAGTCTTTAATTTCAATGCCTTTTTATTCTTTTATTTACGCTCTTTCTCCTTCGTCTTATCTTTCTTATCGTATTTTATTTCCATAAAAAAATTAATTTAAAAAAATCAAAACCATATTTTTTGTCTAAAAATATTTTTTTCCGGAAAGTGTAGATATTAATTGCTCTTCTTTCCTACTATTAAAATGCATTGCCATATATCGTGTGATATATAATTAATAATAAAAATGTAATTTATTTTATTGACCTAAAAAAATCAAATTTGCTTTGCATTCATAAAAACGTTTTTCAGCCAAACTACCGACGGAAAAACAAGGTGTTCGCATTCTTGCAAAGATAACGCGCTGACGCATCTTTCATTTCCATGCAGACGATGAAACATTTCCTGGAGCTGGTATACAGCTTATATAGCTTTATATACTCACTATTTAAAGTATGATTTTCCGAATATTATATTATACAATTACATTATTATATTATATATAATGCCATTATAAGGGACATTTTATTATGCACAAATTTAAATAATGTGCTTACCTTTAAAATAAAAGAAAAAACTCTCCTATGTTACAATGATGTTCCTGCACAAGAGTTTGCTGCGTCAGTGGCTGTGCGGGCAAAAATGCACGTGCGTTTTGGAAGCTTTATATAGATGAGGAAAGCTGCACATATAAACAAACAGGATATAAGATATACAGATGTATACAATGCAGGAGATTTAAACCTATCTATTCTCGAACAAAGGTGTATGTATATTTTAACTAAAGAGTTTAAAATTCCCGGAACAAATTAATATGCTGCTATTTTTCCTTGAAACTTTTTTTTTCAATATGATGTGGAGATAAAAATATCTATATTGATCTATTTTGCAACAGAACGTACAGAGTCATACAAACAAAACGTAACCTAGAACCATGCAAGTAATAAATGCAGAATCAGGCGTACGTGTGATTTAAGCTCATTATATAACAGATACCTATTTTTTCTATATCGATTAATTCTCCAAGACTTCATAACGTAAACTTTACGGAGCGCGTGCAAAGAAAATATCACCTGACACACATCAAGCAATGCATTACTTCATTTATCTACAAGAATATAAACATATGTTCATGAAGATGTGCACTCTAGTTTTAACACATTCCCGCGGTGTCTGTTAGTGAGTAAACGGTAGATGATGCAACTGATGCTGCCGATAATCGCAACGGGACACTAAGGGCATGACCCTTTGACCTGTCCGGGTCTTACTTATCGATAATCCATGATGTAATTATCTGATTTCTATTGATAACAATACACGCCTGAAAGTACCGACATACGGTCAAATACACCAAGGTATATAAATACTTGGGAAACTGCTTGAAAACGATCGATATTCCGATCGCCATCTTGTTTCAGTTATTGCTTCTATACTATCCCTTTACTCTAAAAGTCATTTCAGTATAACATATTTTGTCCCTTTTTCCAAAATAATTATTTATAGTAATATGCTAATTTAATTACTATATTATATATATTAATCGATTGAAGAATTGGTACCTGAAAAAGATCGGCAAATCAACATCGCTTCCAATCACAATATTTAACACTAAAACACATGGTGGTGTTACACGTACAAGGAAATATTTTTAATATTAAACAAAATGAAACATTATTATACATAATACCAGAAAAAAAACGGAAGATAAATATCCAAAAATATTTCCCTGTAATCATGAGTAATGTTTCCTGTTAGAATTACTCAACTTTTTTTTTATTTTGGTCACACAAAAAAAAATCTTTGGAGACTGTTTGGAACACGCTTAACGCATTACATTACATATATAACCATTAGTACTGTAATATTCCTGTCATTTTTCTGGTATTGGATTACATCATATATTATATTTAATACGTGAAAACTTCTAAAATTTCCCGGCAGTAAATTATCACAGAAAATCAGTTTTATTGCTTCCGGTCATTCAACGACTAAAAATTGTAAAAATGTGATGACAAACAACATCACCCATACAACCATATCTCCTTCAAATATCAATTATCATACTAATATCGCTAGCCAACATTACTAAATTAAAATTAAGTAACACGGAGATAATAGAACTAACAAATCACACTTAAACCAACCGAAAGAAGCTTTAATTAGAGTTACCGCCGTGACAAATTTCAGTTTAAGAGATAGATATAGGCGTAATGTCTACTTACGTGTTTGCGATCTGTTGCTGAGGCTGAATGAAGAGGAATGTCTTGGATAAGCAACCAATCGATGAAGCGGTGGTCGATCGTCAGGTTTGATAACTCGTGGCAGAGCATCGATCGAAATGTATTGGACAATTATTTGATCAAATGGTTAGTTTACTAAAAAGAGGTGATAATTGGATATAATATCAGTAAATTGAATTCATCACATGGAAGAACTTGTATCGATATTGTGTAATAAGGTTTGGTGTATATTAACATACATGAACTATACATTAACAACTAGATGGTATTGTTTACATACCGGAAGTGTAACAGTTTGGAGAGGTTACTTGAAAAAAAACAATACAACTGTTCAATAACAGATAAAGACCTAATACAAATGTATAAATTATGCATATATTACCAAGTCAATTTAATTTTATTAAAACATATGAGCTGAGATAGTTCTTTAATTTACCGATTTAAACAAATTCACAAATAAACCTTTTAGTAAAAGTACACACAAAAAGTAAAAATAAACATAAAGTATACCTAAAGAACATGAACATGAACATGTGGAGGATAAGATATAAACCACATGAAATGGTGCATCGTCGCAAACCACGGTTTTGAGTCCACAAGCTACCTCAAACGTGATGATATCTAGAGAGAATCGATGTGAATCACCCGTGGGTTACCGACGATGGAAATGGTGCTATCAGCATGTTACACGTTTGTTTTACATTTTTAAGAATTATTATATTTTCTTTAAGAAAGTAAAAGGCATTTACAGGAATTTGGCTTTCAAGAGTTTGCCACATCGAAGAAATCCAGATTTTTCATACATAATTTATATAATTATATATATATAATCAGATTATATTGTTTCTAGTGTCCATGATCATATAATAGTGTACACATGTAATAGTAAATGTTAATACATGTATTTGAATTTTCTTTTAGATTTAAAAAATGAATTTCTAAAACATGCATGCACAGGCCCGTCACAACGGTTTCAAAAGTGGGGGGAGGGGGGAGGCAACTTCCCCAAAAATCTGACAAGCAAAAAGAAAATAGGTAATTTACCGTCCAAATCCTGCAATTTGCCAGTGCTTCACCTTAGAACATCGAAAAAAGGGGACCAACCTGCATCTAAAGGAAAATTTACTATAGCAATATACTATACCAGAAAAAAGTGACCCCCCCCCGCGTTCTACGGGCCTGATGCATATAAATGATAATACATGCATTTATACCTAAGTTCTTTTACTTTTTCACGCCCCCCCCCCCCCGTTTCCTACGGCCATGATTGATACATGTATACACTCATACATTAACTTGTGTGTGTGTGTGTGTGTGTGTGTTAAAGTGTCTTTATTCCTATACCGCCATTCAACTCAATGCATGGCATTTAAAATGTCATTTTGAATTTAGATATTCACAACTGATACGAAACGTGTCAAAGGAGAAAGTAACATTATATTGGCCTCTTTCTTAAGGAAATTAGGTTATTCCCCTGCATTCTTTGAATCAAACGATATTGAAACTCCTTCGTCAACAAGCACACAGTTAACTGGAAATGCGATTCTCTCTGTGAGCATGCTCCCGAAATTTAAGAAGTGTATTCGTCCCAAAATGTGAAGAGAATACATGTATTTATAGCACCATTCAAAAAAAACCTACCCGGTAAAAAATAAACAATAATACTTGTATATTAATACTAAACGTCATGGTTAACACATGTAATTAATTCCGCTATATATAAATACTAAATACTGCATACTGCCATAAATTGTAAAATATTAACTCACTAATAACACTATTATGATAGTTTTCACTTGAGAAATAAAGGTAATCTATGCTCAAAATAGAGAGAGGAAATAATATCCGATAGATATCTGAAATTATATCAGACTCTGTGTCACATACACGTACTTCACATGTATATGTAAAATAACAAGAAAAATGTTCATTATGTAAACACCATGCAGTTGTGTTCTTTACATTTTATTAAAAATAAATACGTAAATCATGCACAAATCATCACAAGTGTTTACAACATACATGTACTATAAAAATTTTATTCTGAATACTTTATTTTAAATGAAGGTTTTATTACAAAGCTAAACATATAAATCAATTATGACAACCAATAATTATTATGCCTGGACAAATAATAAAGGGCATAAGATACATTTTTTCGAAATATGATTTATATCGACTTTAATGGAGACACGTTAGACTAGATACAGGGTAAAAGTATTCTTGATAATTGAGATGGATTAAATGGAGGGTAATATTCTGGAAAATGAGACAACAACCAGAACAACAGTTTGTCCCACTCCCCAGCACATGGCAAATTCTGGTTCTAGAGGAAAATCGGATCCACGATAAAATCCAGCTATGGCAGCACCTATAAATATACAAAATAAAATGTAAACCATAAGAACACAATGCTAAAAACATTCAGACAATACATTTACCAAGCAGTCCCGTAGAACGCAGAGGGCCAGGGGAACGCGCAGGGGGGGGGGGGGGGGTACGCGGGGGCCAGCCCCCCTTTTTTATGAGTATAGTATCTATAGTAAATTTTCCTTCGGATGCTGCCCCCCCCCCCCCCTTTTCTTGATGTTGTAAGGTCAAGCACTGTGAAATTCCAGGATTTGGACAGTAAGCTTTTTTTTGCTTTGCTTGTCAGATTTTTTTTGGAAGTTGCCCCCCCCCCCCTTTTGAAACCGTTGCTACGGGTCTGCCTAGGTTTAGATTTCGAATGTTTGTAAATAAAATCAAGGCACATTTTGATTCCTGAATCACTGGGAAATACTACATCTCTATATCTACTTTCTTTCTCCTGAACAAGTTCCAGGCACCTGTAAAATAATGGCAAAGTGTAACTTTTACCAGAATAATGATGACATACTTGATAAGGCCCCTCCAGTCAATGGGGACAGAAACCCCATTACAATGATCAGAATAGGCATCCACCTGCCTATCTTGTGTTGCCGAAGACGACAAAAAGCAATGGCTGCTGCAATTACATGGACCAGCACACAGGAGAATAAAGCCCAGAGAAAGATGTTGTAGAAAATTTCTGTTGGGAGAATAAGATATTTCATGATATAATCCAATTATCACACAGTGAAGCCAAATATTCAAACAAACATTTTATGCAACCCCCCCCCCCCAAAAAAAAAATAAAAAAATAAAAATTAAAAAAAACTCAACCAAAAAAAAAAAACACTGATATATGTAAAGTATTCACACATCAAAATAACTCTTATTTGAATGATTTGAATTAATTTCAGCATTGGAGTAAAATGTTTCCATATACATAGTATTATTTCTTCTCTTACCTCCAAAGTCATTGAGAGTACTTTTAAGGCCAAACACATTTAGAATGCTTTGGCCTGTTTGTTCAATGTCATTTGTCATGTTTCAAGATTTTCTAAATCCAATTTTTCCTTTTAAGTTCTTTTCAGGAGT